CCGGAGAAGTTAGCGATCAGGGGGGGCAGATCGCTGCATTATGCAACGTTCAGCCCAAGCGTCTCCTTATTGAATTCTGTTGTTCGACGACCTCGCGGTTGGGCGAATCAAGAGACTCTTCAAAAGGTTGCCGTGTCATCCGGGTCACCGAAGATGAAGATGGGTGCTCCGAAACGTGCAGGCAGTGGTTGAGCCGTGAAATCGCCGAATTTAGGAGCAAGAATCCTAAGGGCGCCGTCATGTTTTACGTCTCATTGCCGTGCACTGGAGGTTGCCCGTGGGGTTCTGTCAGCCAGCAAACTCCCAAAGGTGCTGCCAAAATTGAGGGCCACATCAAGCAGTTTCGATCACTGTTGAGAGGGTTCAAGCGCATTCTCAATGATGTTTATTCAAACGACATCAGAGTTGCCTTCGAACTCCCTAAGGCATGTCGCTATTGGAAATGGCCTGAACTATGGAGTTTCTTGACAAAGTACAAAATGAACAAGTATGAATTCCATGGTTGTAAAATCGGCATCAAAGGGAGAGATGGAAAACCAATGAAAAAGCAATGGGTCGTTGCCAGCAACATGCCCACTATTTCCGTTGTTGAGTACTTCAAATGTGATGGTTCTCACGAGCATGATGAAAGCCGTGGTGCTCACTTGAAGGAAGCCGAGGGATACACGTACATTTATACCGATGCCGTTCACAATGCATTCTCTGAACACGCCACCATGCAGCCGTTGCTTTCGAGTAATTGTGCTGCTTCGTTTTTGCAATCCGCGAGGGATTGCGATCCGGCATGGAGGCGGTGGATGGAAAATATCGCTACCACATCGGTATGCACCAACGGCAAGTATGATGCGAACCTCGCAGCAACAGTCAAAGGGCTTTTGGAATCGACCTTTGCACAGTCGCTTATCCATACATGGGTGCAGGACCAACCGCATTATTTGCAGCTGCTGACGCCTTTGCTGACGATCAGCGAGCCCTATCTGAAGGTGGTGCAAGCACCTCGCGTGCCCGACCGAGATTTCCTCATCTACCTGACGGTCGCAGACTCTGGACTGTCAATGGTATCCGGCAAGAAGAAGAAGCTCCGCAAATATGATTTTTCGGAACGCTTGGATTCTTCTCGCCCGGCGCGTGTCGGTGCATGGAGGTCCGAGATGCTATGGGGGAAAGGCCTGCAGCAGATTTGCAAACGCATGGCCGCCCTTATCGATGAGGTGCGTACGGACTACCCGACGGCAACTATCGTTCCTATGATCTATTGGAACGGCGATGAGCTTGTTGGGAAGGACGGCATCGAGCCCAGCGGCACCTTCCCGTTCGACCACCCGTCCGGCGAAGCCAGCCAGTTGCTGGCAGACACCAAGAGGCATCTGGCCTGGACCAGGGATTTCGCGGCCCGCAAGGGCTGCGCATGCCTCGGCGTCATGACCGGCGCGAAAAGCTATCTCTACGGCTTCTCTATGATTTGGGATCGTTATATGACCGAAGTTCGGGACTTTATCATTGGCGCCCCCAATCAGATGCTCGTGTACGTAGATGCTACATACACCCTTCGTCGAGACCATCGACTTGCTGGACAGGTATCACATGTGCTTCAGTGATGACAGCATCACCAAGACCGTCCAGTTTATGCGCGGATCCCACCACATGTTGCACATGCTTTCTATCTTGCGCCCCGCAATGGGCTGCGTAGCCGAGCTGATCCGTTCGCACGGCTGCACCGTGCGTCCAATCGACGTGCTCGAGCTGCGCCACCAAGAAGATTGTACTGCCAACGTGGAGGTTCTCGCGTACTGCAAGGAGACGCTTACAAAATGCAGCGTCTCTTTGTCGGAGATGATCGGGCTCCCTTTTACCAGAGAAGAAGTGGAAGTCCGGCAGCCTCTCGACTTCGCCCCCGTCAACCCAGCTGAATTTGCAACTTCGAGTGCGCCTTCCGGAGCAGATGCTTCCGAAAGTGTTCGCCCGGCCCAAGCCGGTGCAAAGGCAGCTGCGGTGGCAAAGAAGGACGAGGAGATGAGCAGGCCGGTACCGCTCGACTCCTACGGGAGGAGCGTAACAGGGGGCCATTATGACTGTTGGGTGTATAGCACTCACGATGGCGTGAAGTATGTCGATTTCGGCGAAGGCCCCAAGAGGCTCAGCATCATCAAGCAACCCTCATTCGATTATGACCCTTCCGTCAGGAGAATTAGTGACGAATACCACCGCTCCTTGACATGCATCTCCAAGATCCTTCGTGGTCGAGGTACGGAAAGGATGCGGGTATGTGATGGATGAGGATGGCTATATGGACCTCGAAGACTTTGGAACATCCAGAACATCATGGATATTTTCAAATTAGACAAGAAGCAGAGGTTCATTGGCCTTGGTTGCCCGGACGCAAGCCGGAGACGTCCCCTGTTCTCATTGGCTTTTCAAGCTGAAGGCCTCTCAAGGCCATGAGGACTGGCTCAAGATCGACGACTCCGGCATCGCGAAGGAGTGGTATGTGAACCCGGGGACGGACCTCGGGCGCTGGACCGGCTGGAATGTCCGCGATAATCCACCAACTGTGCTTTACCACCGCACTGACAAGCGAAATTTCGCTAACATCATGCGGAATGGCTTATTGCCCGGCGGTGGAGATCAGCATGAAACCGGCCGGCCCCACGTCTACTTCGCCGACGTCCCCAGCACAAGCGACCACTATGTGTCGGGTGTGCGCGCAGATCGCCCACTGGAGATTCAAATCGACCTCAGAATGGCCATCCGCGCAGGACTTTGCTTTTTCAAGACCGAGAGCGGTGGCGTCCTCGCGCGCGACAAGGTGCCCAATGACACGATTATTTCGGTATTGGATGCTACAAATGGCGATGTTTGGTACACTCGCTCCGAGCAATCGGATGCAGGTGCACCAGCAGAGGCGATTGAAGAAGAACCCCAGGGGATGAAGCGCGAACAAGCTGTGTCAGATGATCGTTCAACAGCGCTGGAACGTATTGCTACGACGCGCACGAATGTGGCCTCTCCTCGCGCCCCGCAAGGGGAAGCGAAGAGGCAAAAGACTTTCAATCCAATGGAAATCGTTGAATTGAATGTCGCATCGTGCCCGGTTTGCAACAACAGCGTCTTCGAGGGGCAGGTGCATTGCACATCATGTGGGCAGTTATCTCCCCTCAATCCACGCCTGTTGAAAGAGCAACAACGCAATTACATTATGCAGCGCTCCAATCTGTTGAAGAAGATGGGCCTCAGCACCCACGTCACGGCTCGGGTCCTTGCATCTGTGGGAACATCCGACCTCCGCGAGGAGGATCGCAACAGCATCATTCGTGGCTTGAACTCCCCGGACAGCGCCGTCATTCAGGAGGCGCGGAAAAAGCTCAAGTCCGCCCTGAATAACGGCTACCACTCTCTCCTTGACCGCTACGAGCTTGATCTTCAATACAGGGTTCGTATGCTTGAGGTGGGCCGTCGGGAGGCGGACATGCTCCGCATGGAGCTGTGCGCAAATCTTGTTCTAGCTGCTCCAAAGCAGTCGCAGGCCCAGCGCACTCTGGGCGTTGGCCTTGGTTCAACGTCGGAGTCGCGAATCGCAAGGCCCGCGTACATCAGAACAGATTTGGAGTTCTTGCCCAATGAGCTGAAAGAGGCTTTGTCCTCGCGCTGGGTCGTGATGTTCCAAGAAATGCCCTACAGCCCCAGAGCGTTCGTCAACATCGTGATGGAGCAGAATAAGCCCCGCAGTATTGGTTGCTGGAACGGGATTATTCATTTGCAAGGCAACACGTTGGACGACCTCCGCAGTGAAATGGACTGGGTTTGGCCGGCATGGAACTCGATAGACTTTTCGAGGAACGAAAGCAGCAAACATCTTGCTCGCAATGCCGCCCGTCATGCCGAACAAAGTGCTCCCGCCGCCCGCGAGGGCGAGCAGTGGGGCAGTGGCAGTTGGCAGAACTGGTCCGAGTGGAGCGGATGGGGAGACAGCAGCGGTAGCTACTCCTCGTGGCGGTGGCGTTGAAAACGCATCCGTCACGGATTTGCATGAGTGCAACGGTTCCCCTTGACCTTCTCCCTCTGTTGTGTTACTGTTTGGCTGCTTTGTGAAAGGCCCCTTTAACACGCAGAGGGGGGTGAAGAATTTGATCGGTCATTATGGGGTTTTACATCCGTTGCATCCGCAGTGTGGCTGTTCAAGCGTGAAAATGTGCGAGCAGCGCACTTGGACGGTTTGTTGTTTCCTTTTGGGCCCCAAACCGGTAACCCTTGAATCTATACTTCCAGGTCCAAATTTCCCCAACAACCCATAGGATGTTCTTGTTTCCATGTTGAGGGTCCTACGTCTCTCAGTCCCACCTTTCGCTGACCCCGAAACGCCGAACCAATTCTAAGCCAGCTTCGGGCGGATCCCCGGCTGCCTCCTGGCGAAGCGAAGCCAGGGTTCCAGGGATTTTCTGACGTTTGGTGGGCGGCGGAACACGCGCTTTGTTTGTGTGTCGGTTTGGTTTGTGGTTTTCGTCCATGTTGCTTCTTTTTGTTGGATTCTTGTTTGCTTGATTGTTTGAATGTTTGTCCAGACTGCCTCCATGAGAGGCGTCAAACAATTCTGCTTCCAGAAAAAGCGGTCAGACTCAGTGGCTTCTCCATGTTGTTTATCCTAGGATATCTTTTGATTGTCGTTCCTCGTCGGCAAGTGGGAAGGGATCAAGCAGTGGCCTAAAAGAAGATGTGCGACAGCGTGAGTTGTGTCGTGAGTAACGGACCCGGGCGAGGGAAGTTTGGAGGAAAGTCACCACACATGGGTGCGGTTATCCGGCCTTTTGATTCACCATGGGTTTCAGGTGTAGGTCACTTTGCTTGGTGGCTCCCATCCAATCCCGGTAGGTTCAGCGGTAGTTTCCGTGTACCCACTAAGAGTTTTCGAGCTTTAGCAGTGCAGCAGGGGTGAACACCGGCGCGGTTTAGGTTCTTGGGTTATTCCCGCGAGCTTCGGGAGTCCCCGGTTTGCACGTTGCCAGTTCGAGCCACCCCCGGCCTTTGCTGAAGCTCGTGGAGGAGGGCACCACGGTGTCGGAGTGCGGCACGGCGGAGCGGGACGTCGCGGCGGCCCGGCCACGAGCACGGCTTTCGTCGAGGATACCTTCCCAAGTAACCTGGAACCTGAGGTTCGGGGGGTCCTGGAAGAGTTCTTATTTTTTGCTTTTGACGGGAACCCCTGTCAGGTTCCATGTGAATTGGTGGGAGGGAATATGGCTTGTGACTCCTGAGGGGAACAGATCCGTTCCGAAACTGGATGCGAAAAACAATGAAAGAGTACATGACTCGAGCGATCGCCAGTTGGAGCATGCGCTGCCACTGAGGGGGGGGGCTCTCGTGCCAAACTGCTCATCTTCGAGGAAAACCGCTGAATCACCGACCAATTTTGTGCCAAGACCAGTTGCAGGAAACTGGGAGACTGCCTGCCGCCGCTCGCAACAATTAGGCCCACAATTCCGGCGGGTTTCGCAGACTTTCGGCGGGTCTCAGCCCGGTTCTTTGCTAAACGTCGGCCATGGCCGGGGTTCTCCATTGCGCTAGTTGGCACTTTCAAAGGGGGTCTCTTTTCGTCCTGTGAACAGTTTTCCGGTACTTTCGGGCCCTTCAATTTCAATCCAAGAGACCCTTGGTTTGAAGCCCTGCGGTCTTTCCGACTTTGGAAAGACATGTCAAATCCTCCATCGCTCGGGTCGGTCTCTCTCGCTTGGGTCACCGAGGTTGGGGGCCCTTGGCCTTTGGAGCTCACGGTGGCGGAGCACACGCTGACGTCCTCCGCCAACTTCAGCTTCCTGCAAGGCATGTGGGCGGGGGGAGCTGGGTGGGGCCCGGGCAATCACAGGCCCTTTGGAGGAAGGCCACTTCGGGGGCCGACATGCAGGTCTTAGAAAGCACGGCTTGCTTGCCCAAATGGCAGTCATGAGGGGAAGCCTGCAAAAACTCATACCTTGGCACCCGTTTAGGGACACCCAACAGCTCTTGCAGTTTCTGTGGCGCCTTCAGTTGGGGTAAATAATGTTAGGATTCTGAAAGTTGCTGTTGTCCATGTTTCGTGGGAGGAAAAGCTTTGAGAAGGCAACCGCCGCAGACCTCGAACTTCAGTCTTGCTTTGAAGGTTAGGCTCTGGTTTCCAACTTACCAGGGCTGGCACACCTGAGTTCCAAGTTAGGCGGCAACATCACCCTAATGCCAAGCCACGGCCAGACATCAAAGAGCGAACAGCGAAGCTTGGGATTGAGGGGAGGGAAGTGGGGGGCCGCTTTTCCCGTCTTACCATGCAAAGGGGAAAGTTAAACCGCAAATGGCGCACCCCTTCTATTTGTTGGGTGGGGATTCTGTGACGAGCCCGTTTTGGCATCGCGCCGGAGCATGGACTTGCTAGTCCTTCACCACATTCCTAGGCGGTCGGTGCAAGAGATCCCTCTTGCAAAGGGAAAAGCGGGAAATGCAACTTGGGAACCACTTCAACACCATCAAACGGAGACTTGTCATGTGGAAGCACAGAAGTTGTTCCTTCCACTCCGTGTCCTTGTGGGGTGAGAGATCTGGAAGATCCCGGTACGGGTGTGTCTTTTGAGTTGTTGCTCCTTTTGGGCCTTCAGTTTGCAACGGGAAAGGACGCAACAGGCAAAATAAGCTTTAGACATTTCTACCACTTATAAAGAAAACATGAGACATCCCCAAGGGTTTGACCCAAGAAAGGGACATAGACAAACCCCAGCCGTCTCCAGGCGGGCTTTTCAACTTGTGCTACAACCCGGACGCCAGCAACGACTGCCTTTGCAGCGCAGGAACCTGCCGTTGCACTCGCACTGGGGACTCCTGCAGCGCTCTGGCTGAAAAAGGCCGAAACATGTTTGCCCTTTGGAGTTTTTCAACATCACTTCTTGGCCCTTTTTGTTTCAAGTGAGCTTTGGATGGGGTCATGTTTGAAAAGGATAATTATATGGGGACCTACCACCTGCCTTGAAGGATACATACAGGCCAGATAAGAAGTCACAAAAGCCAGCTGGCTCTTCGGATGCATCCTTTAAGGAGAAGTGCTTGAGGAACCCACCTCGCCACCTCCCGAGAAGACGCCCTTGTTCATTTCCGGACTTAATTTCAAACGTTTTGCAAGTGCTTGCCTTTGCTGGGCTTTGTTGTAAACGCTTCGCGTTGCCCGCCTCGGCCAGTCGCTTTTTGCAGAGAGCTACAAAATGGCAGTGACGGGCAGTGAGCTTGGGTGGAAGGATTTGGCCGGAGTTGGACCTGCTTTAGAGGGGTTTGACAGGCTTCTAGAGGGGAGTTTGATCGGTTTCTACGGTTTTTAAGGGGGCATTGGATAGGCTTCTGGAAGGGAATTTGACCAGTTTTGAACAGACATTGACCTTTCTAGGGGAATTGAGAGTCGTTTCCATCGGTGATTTGATCGGTTTCTTGATCTTTTCTTTTTTTTGCGGGCTGCGGTTTTTAGAGGGTATTGGATCACTTTCTAGATGTCCGGCTTTAAAGGGGACTTGACCGGTTTCTAGAGGTTTGACCGGAGTTTGAGGGTTTCGAATTTCTCCGGTGAGACCCTTTCAGACCCCATGTCTCCAGCTGCCTCCAGTCCGCCTGAAGTGAGCCTGGAAGGCCCAGGGCCGGGAAGCGAGGCGAATTCTCCTTCTTGACCAGCATGTAGTTCGGTGTTTGCTTCAGGGCGCTGCAGGTCACGCCGAAATAGTTTTGTTCAGGGTGCCAAGAAAGAAGGCTGCCAGGGTGCTGAAGTTGTTTCGGGGCTTCGAACCATCATCTTTGGTTGATTTTGGGGGGTCCCCGGTTTGTCATGTTTGTTCTTCGCCTTTAAGGAACCGGGTGTGGGCGTTCGGACACAATTGGAAGGCTGGTTTTTCTTCATTTTTGGGGCCGTGGGGGGCATGTACATAAAGGAGGGCTCTCCCCAAATGGGGGGGCCAATGGAGGAAATCGCAAACACAATCGGCGGGTCTGAGTTAGGCCTGCTCAAGCAGTCTTCCGGTTACTGCCGCTTAGCAGCGGTTTAGAATTTGTTTAGTGTTGGTTGAGTACTTAGTATCGTTGTGCTGGCCCAGATTTTTTGTTTTGTTCTGTTCCCCAGCCTGACACATATAATTAGTCTGGCTTACCTATACAACTACCTTGAACATTTGATAGAAACACGTTTCTTTTTCAAGGGGGTGTGGAAAATGTTGTTTTCGCACAGCATGCTGGGTTGCGTATCGTTGCGCAACAACATCTTTAGAGCTGCTAGCTGAAGTGTTGTTTGCAACATACATTAATTGAGCGAACAAACAGGGTGGTGGTGATGGCGAAAAAACACAGACTGATGGTGCCAAAAGCCCGAGCAGTAAACTCGACCACTGTTACTGTTTCTGAATCGGAGACCGGCCCTGGAACGCGTTTGACTTGCTCGGCGTTTTGCACACTCGATATCCTTATCTGAGATGAAGTATTAAACGTGGTAAACTTGCTGGGTGCCTGTTGTTTTCGTGCGGGCTTAGGAGGGACAGTCAAGTCAGCAGATCAGCACACCACCCGCCCTTGCCCGAGTTGCGCCTGCCGAGGCCCCTCGGCCGAGAGGCCCTTTGGCAGCTGCAACCCCTTTGCCCCGAGCAACTCAGGCCACTCAGATGCCAGCGCTGGTTGTTGCCCGCCTCAGCAGGGGTTTGCAGCCTGCAATGTTGTAAGGTCTCTTCCAAAGCGACGTGTTGTGTTGTTTTGCGTGCCTCACGCAGGCCAGGGAGAAGACGCAAGGCGCAATCCATTATCCGATCTTGCTAGCGCACAGGAACTACACTGGACAATTGAAGCTGAGGGCAGCCACTGAAGATGCGAATGTCGTGCTTTAATGAGGGTTTGATTTCACGCTAATGCTGGCGAGCAAGGGCTTCTGAACGATCAGGCACCTACGGAATGTGCAGGGGCTCACAAGAAATGGCTGGGCTTTCCTTCTCCATGCACTTGCTGTGTGTGTGTGCGCGTGCGCGTGCGCGTGCGCGTGCGCGTGCGCGCGCGTGTGCGCGTGCGCGTGCGCGTGCGCGTGCGTGTGCGTGTGCGTGTGCGAGCGCGTGCGCGTGCGCGTGCGCGTGCGCGTGCGCGTGCGCGTGCGTTGCGTGTGCGTGTGCGTGTGCGTGCGTGTGCGTGCGTGTGCGTGTGCGTGTGCGTGTGCGTGTGCGTGTGTGTGTGTGTGGTGTGTGTGTGTGTGTGTGTGTGTTGTGTGTGGTGTGTGTGTGTGTGCGTGCGTGCGGCGTGCGTGCGTGCGTGCGTGCGTGCGTGCGTGGGTGGTGGGTGGGTGGGTGGGTGGGTGGGTGGGTGGGTGTGTGTGTGTGTGTAATGGCGCTTCGAATCCCACTCTTCCTGCCATTTCCCCAATGGAAGCACTGAAGCACAACTTGGGATCCAAGGAAAAGGGATGTTGGCACCCCATCTCTCTCCTTTCGCCTTTCCGGGGCTTCCAGGGACCGCCTCCACGCTGCTCTTCGCAGAGATTGCGGTCCAAGGGGTCTCTGGCCCATCCTCCGATTTGGCCGCGGAACGCTGGGCGCCCCGCCCGGAAAATAGATGGGTTCGTTCAGGAGGCCCCCATAAATGGTGGTTACCAAGCAAAGCAAGGGAACCTTCAAAAAATCATGTATCAACCTCAAGAGGAGGTCTGCAAAACACAGCTCAAAAGGCGGGCAGAAGGTCCACCCTGCCGAAACATTGGGTTACCGTTTTTAAACAACCCCAGGTGTGGTTTTCCTTTGAAGGCGGCGTATGTTTCTGACCCTTTGGGTCGAGCTGTTCCGAGCGGTTTTGGCACATCTTGCAAGCCAAGGGCCAGATAAGAACATGACATTGTCCAGGATTTTCCATGCAACCTGCGGAAGCTTAGATTCGTCGGGCTCATTTGGGGGAAAACCCACATGCGGATTACCCTCCCCTTTTGTCAAATCGCTTCCGGGTCCATGTCAAGGTCAAAAGGTACACGGAACCAAACCTCCAACCAATCCAAACAAAACTAATGGGGTTTGGTCCCTTCCCTTCCCTCTCTCCCTTCCTTCCTTCCTGCCTCCCTCCCTCCCTTCCCTTCCCTTCCCTTCCCTCTCTCCCTCTCTCCCTCTCTCCCTTCCTTCCTTCCTTCCTTCCTTCCTTCCTTCCCCATCGCTCGGGTTTTGGGCTTCCCCGAGGACTGCTTCTTCCGGCCCGGCTTCGGCAGCTTCCCCTGCCGCCTGCTGCGGGCCGGCTGGGTCTTCGGCTCCTTCGGCTCCGGCGCCGGGCTCTGGGGGGCCGCCTTCGGCGAGGAAAGTGGCGGGTCGGCTTTGCTGTCCACCGCTTGTCGCTGTCCTTGAAGGGTTTAGCCCCACCCAAAAAGGCGCCGAGCCCCCCAAAGAAACCACCCACACCTGGGTGCAAGAAGCCCTTTTTTGGGCTCTTTCAAAGGAAGCCAAAGGAAGGCCCTGGTTGGAAGCAGGCGGGGGGCGATAGTACCTGACAGGACACCTTGCGCGCGGGGGGCGGCCTGCTGGAGGAGTTTCCGCAGCTCCGGCAGAGAGAAGGGATGGAGAGGGAGGCTGCAGGGTCAGCTGGGGTTTGGGGGGGGTTTGGCGTGGAGGTGGCGTGGGTGGTGCAAGTGCAAAACATCACCTAAGGCTTACCTAAGGAGGATTTTAGTGCTTTCAAAGGAGGCGCTGCGACTCCTTGTAGAAGCGGTTTGTTCCATGAGGAGTTTGGACCAGGATTGGCCTTATTTATTGGCCAAATTGACTGGAAGAATTGGGTTGATGTTGGACACCTTTTGGATAACATCTAGATGAGTTTTCTCTTGGTGGTTGGGGTGAAAGACGAACAACCCTGTCTGAAGGTGACACCCCTGGCTGTTGGCCAACAGACGTCCCACACAGGCATAGGCAACAAGCTTTGCACAGTCAAGCGCTCGTCAGAGCAAACACGTGTTTGCTTGGCATATCCCGAAAAGCGCAAATCAAAAGCAACTGGCCCCTTATTCAAGCGAGGGAAGCGAACACAACACTTTGTAGGCTGCTTTTCCCTTGCTGCACGCCTCTCCGCCCGAAGGCCATGGCTTCTCCTTCAGGATTCCGTGGGGGCTCCGGAGGGGTTTCGAGGCTGATTTTCCTTGAGGCAATTCGGTTGTTCGTTGCTCCCCTTTCTTTTCTCCTCTGGAGGTGGCTGTGAGCCGTTGCCCAGTGGCACCCTTGTCCCTTTTGGGAAAGCCGTTCCCTTTCCAGTCAGCCAACATAAGCGGGGCCTTTTTGCCCCATGGCCACTTGGGGCTTCCGGGCCATCGCCTCAGGACCACCTGCGGCAGCACACCCGCGGCATTCTTCGACACGGACAGCCCGCTGGATTTCCATGAGGCCGGGTACGGAAGGAAGCAGGCCGCAGGATTCCTGCAAGCTGGGTTAATGTTGGATCACGTGGCGAACATGCTACACCGAATCGTGCTTGAGCTCAGGACCAACAACTTGGAGTAGTCGAGGATTTTTTCGGGTACCAGGAGGAATCTGTAATAAGGAGACCGGAACCAGGAAGGAGGACCAAATTCATTGGGCAAGAGCTTGTCGCTGGCGCTTCGTGCGATGTCTAGTAATGAAGCCTCTCAGACGCTAACGAATTCGCCTTGTCAGTGCTTGGGAGAAGGGAGTAGTGAGTACCTCCGGAGAAAGGCACTGATTCGAAGGCAACCGAGAACTGGACTTGGCCATGATCTTCCACGTCTTGTCTATGCTGGCCTGCCCTCTGACCTGCGAGGGCAAATTGCGCATGCGACTCACGTTAGCGCGCCTTATGCTGGTCCGTAGGTTTGTGTCAAGCAGCCTATCGGCGCGGGGACCCACGTCCGAACTTGGGCTTGCGGCCAGCTTCAACTCGGCTGCTTTTTGATCTCCATTTTGCATTCTGGGTTATGGGCCCAAGAAAGCAGATTGGGGTGAGGCTTCCAAAAAGTAAGGTCTTCCAGATAGGTCACAGCAGGTCGTGCTTGAGCACCTTACCCTGGCTTGTGGTTTAGCGTGTCAATGGGGTCAATGTTCTTTCACATCCAGGCTTCCTTCAGATACAACCTAGCTTGAAGTTCTTGAGAAGCTCCTGGCAATTCCAGCGGAAGCCCATTCTCGCATGTGTGGTTGAAAGCAACATGGAACACCAAAATGAGTCAATCATTGTCATTGTCGTTGCTTCTTGTTTGTTTGGGTAGCTTCCCCTAGAAGGTTCCTTTCCCCTTTCATTTTCCTTGTGTAGGCAATAGGGCAGCGATGTGTGGGGGCCAGGTGTGTCCCTGTTCGGGTCAGAAAGCTCACCACAGGACTCCACGCTGCCCGCGGTGCGCTGGGACGCAGCGGCGGGTGCCTTCACGGCGCCCCTCTGCTTCTGCGCCGGCGCCTGCAGCGCCCCGCAGGACTTTGTGCAGGCGGGGGCGTTCCTCGGTCCCAACACTCCATCCCCCTTTTGGGCCACGGGGTGATGGTTTAAAGAGGAAAGAACGAGGCTTTCTTTCAAGATCATGTTTGAAAACCCAACCAATCTGGAAAAGGAACAACATCTGTTGGTTTAGGAGTTCCCCGTGTTTCATTTTGTCCAAATTTTGCGGATTGGATTGGTGGCTTAGGGGATTTGAACACTCCGAACCTCCAAACCACTCGAGCAGCCCAAAAGAGTGTCCTCATGTGATCCAACCAACCCAATAGGGTTACCACCCCGCCCTGGTGCCCAGGCGATTCCATGGAAAGTTTTGTAGCAACCCGCCAAAACGCATGGGAACCCATGATTGGGACACACTCGCACTTAAGTTGACTTGTTCGACACCAAACCCTTAGTGAAAGTTTGAAGCGTTTGAATCCCGAAGATTTTGACCCACAACTCCAAGCAATACGGGGGGGGGTCCTGTTGAGTTGTTGGATGGAACCCTCGCCAGCAGCTGCTCGCTTGGGGCAACAGGCCCCCTTTTCGGGCACTGACCCAAGGAGTCTTTGACCACAGGCGTGTCTGGGCGTGTCTAGCCGTGTCTAGTCAATCGTGCAATACCTGTCTTCCGGGTACAGTGTAACCAGGCAGTGTTCTCTTGTCCAGTGTTGGGCTGTTCTTTCTTGGTCGAGAGGGTTGCCAGTTGGGCCTTTCGACAGGCCTTCGGCCGCCTCTACATGTGGGTGGTCCACATTTGCGACAGGGACGATGCCACTTGCGCCCCGGCGCTTGCTAGGGGGTTTCAAAATGTCAGCCCAGTTTTGGTCCCAGAGTTTCATGGCCTTTTCTGCGCCTTTCAGTGGGTGCTTCCGTAAGAAATGCCCACGGCAACAAAGAAGTCTCGCAAGCTTCTTCCTTGGCGTCAAACGCAAGCCGTGAAGTGCTCACTTCAGGTGACAGTTCGTACATGCAGGTGCTGCCGCAACAGAGCTTTGTGATAAAGATGCTCGGCTGCATGCAATGATTATGGTTGTCAGAGGCCGCCCAACAGTAGAATAACCCTAATGGACCTCTATAGGCCTCAGGCGCTGGGATTGGGAATGCAGCTAGCGGATTATCGGGTGGTTTCCATTTGGTTGCCCTTTAAATGCCAGCCACAAGAGGGTCCACCACCATTTTGAAAAATCTCATTTGGGTGGCCGAGGATTTTCTGTCCACCAGGAGGTGCGTGCACGGAGAGTGACCAGAATCAGCTCAAGATCGTGCAGGCGGCAGTCGGATGCTCCAATAGTGCCCAAATGGCTCGGACCCTGGTTTCCAAACGAAAGGGCCCTTGGGCCCGTGGTTCTTTCCAAAGAGTTCTCGGGCGCCTCCAAGTGTGCGATTTCCATTTGGGTGGTCCCTAACTGGAAACAGCAATGAGCAATGAGCGGTTGTCTCCACATAACTCTCAACACGGGTGGTTCCCTTTCGGCTGCTATAAGGGTTAGTTCTTCAGGCCCCGCGGAGGACAAGCCGCACAAGGGCACAGGTCTGGCTTGTGAGCCCGCAAAGCCTGCAAACCAGTGCTGTCCCTTTGGCTTTCCTCAAGGGGAAAGGGAACCCTTAAAAGAACACGCACGTCCACCACGACCTCGCGCCAGGGCGAGGGGGACCGCGCCAACTGGGACAGCGCCAACCTTTGCCAAGTGGCCGGCGCCGCCTGGTCCGGCGGCTCCGGTGGTGTGCGGGTGGACGTGAAGGCGGGCTTTGGGGTGGGGTGCGGGGCGGTGGGTGGGGTGGGGGGTGGGGTGGGGGGTGGGGTGGGGGTGGGGTGGGGGGTGGGGTGGGGGTGGGGTGGGGGGTGGGGTGGGGGCGTGACGCAGTTGTTCTGTGCCAGCTGTCTTTTCGGGTGGTTTTAGTATTTCAACAAGGCAGTTATTTTGTCAAAGGACGTGCTCAAGCAGGGTTTGGCCCAACCTTGGTGGGGAGCCCGTCCACGCAACAAAAACCAGTTTCTCAACCTTAAGGGTCGCCTTGGCTGGCCCCTCGGAATCAGGGGTCCTTCAATTGCCTTCTGCTGTTGCGACCAATGGCCACATGGTAGAAAGCAGGTTCGGCACATCCAGACATGGCAGTTTCGTTGGAACCCACCAGCCAACTGAAACGTTTGACGTGGGAACCCAGCGAAGGATTGAAAAGGTGTCAACGTCGTCAAAAAGAGGGTCCAAAGTTGTCAAAAGGGTCAAAGCCGCTTAAAGAGGAGTGGCCCAAGCCCAAGCATGTCAAGATGACCAGAGGAATCGACAGAGATGACAAGGGGTCCCAAGGATCATCAACCCCTTCGCAGCTGAGGTATGGGCCACCGACACGCCCAGGCTGCTCACTCCCGGGACGGGCTACCAGGTGTGCTACTGCAGCTTGTCTTGGGCGCCTCGCGGCTGTTGCAAAGGATCACGGCTATTCTGCAGAAAGCAGGTTGAGCATATGCCTTCTTGATCAAGGAGTTTTGTCGAAACACATGGCAGAAGGCATTGACCTCATTTTTCCTGGGCCCGGCCCAGCCTGCCAATGAGATCCCACAAGTCGATCTGTCAGAATGTGTTTTCTGTCAGGAAACAACATTATGATTTTGATTGCATGTGCCCAAAGTACGTCAGGAGATGCCCCGATCAAGAAGAGGCGTTCCAAAGATTTCCAAAGCGACACCCAAGCCATGGGACCGTAACTGTTTGCTCCCACCCTTGAACTAGGGATCAGCTGCACAACTGTGCCCGACGTCCTCCCCAACTCTGTGAGCGACCCTTCCTGCATTTTCGACGCTGTTTCTTCTCAGAAACTCCGGTGTCAAGTGTCACCATGTTTGGAAATCCAATTGGCAAGGGTCGACACTTGTGATGTCCGGAACTTTCAAAACTACAATAACTTGCCAGCAACACCTCCTCAGTCACGTTGCAGAAAACGGTGGGGTCGGCGCATCCCTCCCGTTTGCCTGTTTTCGCCGGTCTTCTTGTTTTGTTTGCTTCAAGTGCGTCATAGTGAGCGCCATGTAAGTATCAAAACGACCCGCATATAAGACACGGTAACTATCATATGTTTAGCTTGTCTTATTGACTGTTGTATCTTCATCCACCTTTTCTTCCAGTCAATCAATCAATCAATCAATCAATCAATCAATCAATCAATCAATCAATCAATCACTCAATCACTCAATCACTCAATCACTCAATCACTCAACCACTCAATCACTCAATCACTCAATCACTCAACCACTCAATCACTCAATCACTCAATCACTCAATCACTCAATCACTCAATCACTCAATCACTCAATCACTCAATCAATCAATCAATCAATCAATCAATCAATCAATCAATCAATCAATCAATCAATCAATCAAAGAATCAAAGAATCAACCAGTCAATGAATGACTTAATCACTAAACAGCTCAATCAAGAACCCAATGAACCAGCCCATCAACCAATCAACGGTTCAACCAATCAGCCAGTCCAACCAACCAACCAACCAAGAAGGCAAGCAATCAATTAGTCAGTCAATCAAGCAAGCACACAAGCAAACAAACAATCTATCTATCTATCTATCTATCTATCCATCCATCCATTTATCTATCGCATCCACGTGTCCATCAGCTTGGCATTTTCAGCGGTATCGCACAGATTTCCTTTTTGCCGTGGCGCTGGGATTTTGGGCTTTTGGCCATGGGGCCATGGCATGTGGCAGGGTGAGCTCAGGCAATGGGGACTGCGACCAATCCTGGAATTGGATAGAAGTTGGGCGGGTGCATCCTGGCTGCACGTTTGTTCAGGTTCAGGTTTCCATCGCCAGCCTTTCGCGTGTCGGCTTTTGGTAGACGTGGGTCCAGACGCTACTCGGCTAGGCTAGCCGTTTGCTTTCGGATCCTGATGCGCTAAGTCAGAGACGCGCGAACCCTTCTCACAGGTTGGCCGCTGGTTTTGTTCAGAAGGAACCTGGCTGGCAGGAACTCATCCGAGTTCCTGCGCTTAGTCGCTTTTTTGGGAAGACCACTGTTAATATCTGTTAATCTGGAATCAGTTTAGATTGTTGTTTGCGATTATTTGGCTATTAAGGCAGGCATTCAAACTTCCGGCCGTTTCTTGGCTGTTTAATAGTGGCGGCTGGACCTAGACACAAAGTTAGCATGGCTTAAACCCCGGAGTTTGAATCGGTTCGTTTATTTGGAATGATTCTCGAATCTCTGACCCTGATGCCCTCCTACAAAGCCCAAGGAGATCTTATTGGCCTATTGAAGATCGTTTCCGCTTCAGTCTGAACTGTTTTCAGCATAGCCTACTCGGTTCCACTAAAGTCACGAAAGCCCAATGTTTTGCCAATCAAGGGATTTGAGCATCGCTCTCGGTGAGTTCGCTTTCGGCACACTTAAGACCTGCCCGCGCACACGCGCACATACACACAGACACACCCACCCATTTTAGGCGGACTCTGGGGACTCTTGGCCTGGCCTCCACTGATGGCGGGGTGCCGCTGGTAACCTATGTGAACAAGCCAGGCTGGGCATGCGCAGGGGGTGAGATGTGGGTCCTTTACTTGAGGATCCTGTATTTCAGGTTATAGATGAGTTTTCCTCAGATTCTGTGGGTTTGTGCCACCCAGCAGCCATGCGAGAGGCATCAGACAATGTGTCAACAACTTGGGCCGTTTGTAGGATGGTCTCCGAGTTTGTTCACCATGTTTGTGCCCTTTTTTGGGGACACTGCTTCTTTTCCGCCGTTGGTTGCAGTTTGTTGTCCGCTTTCAGCTTCCCTCAATTCAGAACAGCATGCGTTCATTTAACTTACCTTGTTTTCGGAGTACCATACCCAACTCGGATCCTGAAGTTCACGTTGAGTGGGGGGGCCTGCTGCTGACATTGTTTCCCTGAAAGATGCTGCCAGGCAGCTTCACCATGTACGCGGGTGTGAGATCTACACCACCCATCGTGTCGCCTTACGACTCCAACATGTTCGAGGCAAGGTTCGGATGCGGTTTTAGCTTGGTATTTTGGCCTTTCTTTTTTCAGGAGGCTGGGTTTTGGTTGTGCAAAAAGAGGTTCAAGACTCAATTTAGAAAGACATGGGTCCCTTACCACAGGGAAGAAGCAATCATCCACATTTTGTTTTGGGTATACATTGATAAATATATATGTTTTTCAGCGATGAAGCTTTCTTGTGGAGCCCTTATTTTCAGTTGGCACAGGCTCTGGCAGAAAGTGTCAGCTTCTTTTTTTGCAGGGGCGTGGTTGACACTTCCCAGCTTTTTGCAGCTGTCTCGTTCAGGGGACTCCTGGCTGAGACATGTGCGGGGTATAGGCAACCCGGACTTGGGTTGGACCATGAAATGTATTGACCCCACACCCCCAAGAGCGTAAGTGCTGTATCTGAAAGCTTCACACGCCGTGGGAACATGGTTATCAGAAAAGGCTGAATAAGGCGAATCATGCCCAATGAGGGGTCTCTCCTCAAAAACCTCAAAAAGCACACGGTTTCAGCGCCAGCCTGACGGGATCTCCCGGGTTCCTCAGGGGCAAGCGGCGCTGAAGTTGATCTCTCTGGACCGAGAGGCGAGCGATCGCAGTTGCGTGGAGCCGGGTGTGGGCAGTTGGTGAGTCCACTGAAAACGATGCCCGTGAGCTGGGGCATCCTCCGAGACTATGTCTTGTTTTGGGGTGGCTAATCAAACAGATTCTTGGTCTTGAGGTTGTGTGTACCCCAGATGTGGGCCAAGATTTGTGAGGTCAGACATGGTCGAAACACAGCTTTTCTTGGTTGGGAGGGCTGGTCGCAGACCCCTCACAGACCCCTCACTAGAGTCCTTGAACAGAATCTGACAGATGTCGCGCGCTTGTCAGGCAGGGATCAAGCTTTTAGGGCCATCAAGTCTATCACGCCCGAAGCACGTTTCCCTTTTTTTTTTAAGGGAACCTATTACTACTGGACCTATTTTTCTTTTTTACAGGGGGCTTCACCAAAAGGCACCGGGCGCATCGCCTCGCCCAGCGGCTCAAGCGCAGCCATGGCGGAGGACCGGCTGGACCGGCTGTTCGACGCCTCCCGCCGGGGCGATGCACAGGAGGCGGGTTGCGGGCTGCGGGCACGGGAGCGAGGCTCGCAAGAGGGGCCCCCCTTTCTGTACTGGATTTTTGGACTTTGGACTTTAAGTTTTTGGATCTCAAAAAATCGGGACTTTGGACTTTGGACTTCTTTGGACTTTAACTTTTTGGATTCTCCTCCCATTTCCCTTTTAACCAGCAAGAAGGTAAACTTTTTTGCTGGGGGATCTACGGCACTTAAGCTTGTGGCACGTGGCACGGGAAACCAAAGGCAACGCGAACATTTTTTCGGGGACCAGACATGTTTGTCGGAGGTGTGGACGCCACAGTTGCTAATCAGAAAGGGGTGCAAAACGACCCAGATTTTACAAACACCGCATCCAGAGATCCGCCCCTCACGCTCTGATAGTTTCCACTACCCCCCAGGGCAAATTGTGTACCCCCCCCTACCCCCCCCCGGCAAAACCAACTGTCGACAGAGTGAGTGGTTCTATCCCCAGAATGTTGTTTCTCCCTTGGTTGGGTGGGGTTTCCACCACTTCAGCCTCCCCCCACCCCACCCCACCCCAACCCCACCCCACCCCGCCCAACCCCCCTTGCAGGTGGAGGAGGTGCTCCGAGCGCAGCCGGAGCTGCTGGAGGTCCAAGACCACTGGGGCCTCACGCCGCTGCACTCCGCCGCGGTGGCGGGGCACACCCACGTGCTGGCGCTGCTCCTGGAGTACCAGGCGAACTGCCCGCGCTGTTCGGTTCGGTTCGGTGCGCAAAATGGGCATGGGTCAAAATTGAACCACCAGGGGACCGCAGATTTTAGTCCACGTTTCCATTTGCCAGGGTTCCATTTTGGATCATTTTGGGTACCTGTTTGTGACTCACAGCCACGTCTTTGGGGATGGGGGGAAGTGGCGGGATTCCATCGGAGCATTGCTGGATGTAGCTTTCGGCTTCTTGCTCCGCGATTTGGGGGTTCCACCCATTTTCCCACTGACCGGCACAAATCGTCCTAGACATTGGCGTCGAGCAGAGTAAGCGCCTTCCGTCCTGGGAAATGGGGCGGCCGGGCCAAGGCCAAAGCCCGCAGCACCTGAAGGGTGGGCAACGTTAAGCATAGTCTTGGCACGATCTGGTTTGGAAGGCAGTGCAGAATGTTCACCAGGGTCCCTCTCCACCCCCATTTCATGAGCGGCCCCATTTGTGGAGGCGACCTCTTCTTTTTTTTGCGGCATACTGGTGGCAGATTCAGGTAGGTTGGGGGAGAGCCAAGTGGTCAGTCAGAAGCCCCTCTTCTCAGTTGGCTCTTTTGGACTCCTTCTGCTTCTTTTCGGCTTTCGCCAGCGGCCAAAATCTGCCAAGCCCACCGTTTTGCAGCAGCCATGTGGGGCCACTCCAATTTCCTCCTGCAGCCACCCCAACCACGCCACTCCTGCGACTCCGCCCGCGAGGCCAACGTGGACGGCAACAGCCGCAGCGGCCAAACTGCCCTGCACTTCGCGTGCCGCGAGGGCAGGGAGGATGCGGTGAGGCGGGGGTGTCCACATCCAGTGAGAGTGGCCCTGTTTATACATACAAGTTGTTTTCTTCTTTTTTTTTTCTTTGTTTTTTTTTCAAAAAAGGATACAAATAAAACATAAGGAGGTTTTGCTTCGTGATGCGATTGCTGGGTCTTGGCAGTTGGAGGGCTGGGTCCCTAAAAGTGGGCTGGCATGTGAGGGGTTCTAGGTCGCTTACTGGAGCCAGTGCCTGTGCATGGAGGTCCGTTTCTGTTTTGTTTGGACGGCCGGCCTCTATGGTCGAGCAAATGGGCAGGGGTTGCATGAGCATTCCCAAGAGCCAGTTCGTTCATGGTTAATGTTTCGAGTTTCCTTGGTGCATGTTTTTGAGCCTGTGTTGTGGAGTGATTGGTTCATGGGCTTTCCAGTCTGATCACTTTTAGCTTGGCTTTTGGCGGTTCTCGGAATTGGGTGAGGGAGGGTCTCCTAGGCACCAGTTGTTCTTTTGGCACCACCTTCGCCTCCAGCCATGGGTTTATGGGCGAACCTAGATGGACTGCTTCCGTCTTCCAGATTGTTCCAGAGAACGCCCTAAAGGACCTCCTTGGCCCCAGCCCTCAGGTCTCATCGGCCCCAGTCCCATCCCTTTGAGAGCTTCCGCTACCCCGGAACCAGTACCTGCAGCACACTGCACCGTACTGTTAAAAGAACTCAAGATAGAGGGTATGCAACAAGAGGGGTGTATATATATATATATATTGGTATGGGTATATTTATACGCCGATACACACACACATATATATATATATATGTATGTATGTGTGTATGTGTGTGTTGACATACTTTTTTAATGTATCCGTATGTATACATAAGCCTCTCTCTCTATGTATATATATATATATGCACATTACTATTCAGATTTCCCTTGGGTCGTGCTCCCATTGCTGATGTCAGGGAGCTGCTGCGGCGGCGGGCGGACGTGTCGCGGCGCACGGCCCACGGGATCTTGCCTCTGGAGCTGGCGCTGCCCGGCTGCGACGAGCTGATCCGCCAGGAGGCGCAGCGCCGCATACAGGTTGCGGAGCAGGACGGGGAGACCGGGGAGAGCGGGCGACGGAGGGAAGGCAGGAGAGACATTGGGAGGGTCCCGAAAATCCGAGAAAGGCCTTAGAGCCCTTCTAAGAGTTTGTGTTTTTTCTCTGGTGGGAAAGGGGCCTTTCTGCTTTCCTGAGGGGGAGCGGATTGAGGGTGCACTCCTGCAGTTTCACTGGAGGAACGCAACAAAAAATGTTTTCGGAGGAATCTCGCTTTGGGCGACCTGTTTAGATTTAGACCTGTTTGTGGGTTCCTTTTGCATTTGCATGCGAGTATTGTGGGTCAACAAAGGGGGGTCCTCAAACTGAAGAGGTTGGCAATTTAGGGAAAGCTGAGTTGTCAAGGAATCCTCTTTACAGCGACAAAATGATTTATCACAGAAAGCCACAGGCTCTGGCTCGCCTACTGATTCCAGGTTGGGTCAAGGGGTTCACCAATTTCACAAACCCTAAACTCTATACCCCCCCCAGCTTCCCCCCCTTTTTTTTCTTGGGGTGGGAGGGACTTCCTTTCCGAAACCATTCCGGACTCCCCCGCCCGGCCGACCTGAGCCAGAGGACGTGGCGATCTTAGAGGACCAGCTGCGCCGGGCGGTGCAGGCGAAGGAGCTGCTGGAGGCGCTTTTTTTTTTTTGGGGGGGGGGGGTTTAAGTGGCGTCCAAAGGGAAGGAAGGTTCCCTCAAAAGGGATCCATAATTTTGGGATTGGATGAGCTGGGCTGGAGCCATGGCCATGGCTGTTGTGCGTTGACATGTTGAAGTTGAGTTTCGTTCATCAGTCGGTTTTACAAGCTGATTTGATCAGCCGCTTTGTTTCCGTTGCTTTTCTCAGTTGGTTTGGCCAGTTTTTTTTTTTTTTCCAGTTCGTTGGATCAGTCATTATTTTTATTTTCTTATTTATTTGATCAGCTCGTCGTTTGATCAGTCAGTTGAGTTTCGTGGTTGATCTTATCCGCTGACATGTCAAAGTTGACTTGGTCATAATCAGTTGTGTCTGTTTTTGTATCACTCGATGTTATCAGCTGAGTGGGTTTTCCCTCTCCCGCTCAAGCAAACATGTATTGAGGTGGACACATGAACAATGGTAGCCCCACACTGCAGGCGAAAACAGGTTTGCGAAAGTTTGCTTTACAGCGAAAGCTCGCGGAAGGGACTTCGTTGATGTTGTCTTTGTGAAAATTTGGAGCGACGACGTCGTTTTGGGTGTGTTTTCGTTAGGGGACCCCCCCAAAAATTGGGTTTCCTTTTGGTTTTCCTTCAAAGCCACCAAAAAGGGGTACCCTCACAAAATGACACACCCTTTTGAAGAATTGCAAGCACAACGTGCGCAACTTGTCAGTCCGAAGAAGCACCATTATAATTAGAAACATGCTCGGGGAAGGTACGCTTCGCAGCGTGGAAGGTTTGCGGAAGGGGCCCATACGTCCATGCGCATATAAAAGGGTGTTAGCAGACCACTTACGCGTTGATGTCCAACAGCCGAGGGGTTGGACACAAGTCAGGACAATTGTGTGCTCAAACAGGCTTTGGTTTGCAACCTCAGGCCCTAGGGAAGGTTCCGTATATCGTCCAGTATTTTCAGTTGGGCAATTCATTCCAATTCGCACCGGGTTTGCCTCAAGATAGGGGGCAACCCTAAAAGATCGGTTTGGCTTTCCTTCAAACGACAAGTGAATCAAGCCTTCACAATGGCATCTCAGCACAAAGCGATGAGTTTGGTTGCAGCCCCATTAACTATGGGACAATACCGAAGCAAAAGCCACAACATATCTGCCAAGACCCCACCACTGCACAAGCAGTGCATCCCAGAGGGATTTATTCCATGTCAGTCACCCTTTTGCCAAACATACAGTCATTGCTGCATAGTGACTGCCAGTATGACTGATTCTCATAGGCCAGCAAGGGCCATATGCATGATCTTCTTGGGG